TTCAAAGGGGCCAGATTAGACCACAGCCTTGTTCTCTCCAGTCAAATCCCACAAACACTTCAATGAAAACACACAGGTCCAGACAAAATACTAAAACCAGTTTATTAAATAGAGCAAAGGGGTTTTCAGGGATTACAAGGGAGAAAGATGTAAAAGGTCAGAACCGGTTAAAACTATAAAATTAAAACATGCATTTTAAATTTTACTAATCTAAGGAAAATGCGAAGCAAGCAGGTTTTCGCACCCCACCTGCTGTTGCAGGCAGTTCACAGTTCTTAGTACCCAGCCTGGATTTCCTTCAAGCCTTGGTCCGTCCTCCCCAGTCCAAGGCCCCTGTTGCCTTTCAAGACATCTTGTTGCCTTCTGTAAAGATGGAAGAGGAGAGGTAAAAATGGAGGCAATTCTCCCTTGTGCTTTTATACCACTCTCCTCTTTGAGGTTCATCCCGCAGCCGGGGGGCAGCTGACAGTCGGTCTGTGGCCTAAGTGAACGTCCAGCCGTCCTTCCGGTTAATTGTAACTCTCCTGTTCCCAGCTCCACAGCTGAAGAATGGCCGGCTGAGCAATTACTGGCCACGTAGCACCTAGCTGGTGTGTAGGTGACATTGTCTCTGAGGAGCTCGTCTGTGGGCGTTTTCCAGCTTTACAGCATGTAACAAACATACAGCAAACTCTCAGAGCTCCATGGACAGTGCTGATAGACATATTTTAATGGGACACTAATATTCAGCAGGTGATGACTTTTCCTATGATGCCTCACAAGACATACTTTGGAGAAGATTTATCATTTTATAAACGTGGTGCCCATAAGAGTGTAGACCAGTGGTTCTCAAATGTGTTTCATTGCCACCCCCCATGGTGTCTGTGGTCATTTATGCCCCCACCATCAAAAGCACATATATCACCACCCAGCTCTAAAGGCAGAGTAGTTGCTGGCGATGTGCACAGCTCTGAAGGCCTCCAATAGCAGCACAGAAGTTAGGGTGGCCACGTGAAAAATAATATTCATCAATATCGCTGTTCACAGCTGACTTATCACCTCATTGCCACCCCTACTTCTGTGCTGCTGCTGCACCTGGGTTTGAGAGCCTGAGCATTTATCCCCACCTCCCAGATAGGCCTGTTCCTTCTTCATGAGCCCCAGCCACGTGGGACCGACAGCCAGTGCTACTTTAAAAAAAAACCAACAACCCACACTGATCACGCCTCCCTTGACATATTCCTGTGCCTCCACTGGGAGGCTCTGCCCACACTTTGAGAATTGCTAGTGTAGAGCGTCACCGTGGGGATTGATAGCCAAGATGGTAACACCAGCTCCTTTCCGTCTCCGGGATCCCCAGAGAAAATGTCCAAGCAGGAGAGCGGAACAAATCCGATTACATTAACCTTGCAAAACACATTTTGGTGATTTCAGCTATAAACATTCCTTTCATCCTTCAGCCTCTACCCCCACCGAATTCAATGAGACTGAGCTAGAATTGGGCAAGTGGCATGGGAGATGGGTATAATCGCTGAATTATTGATCCCTGAATTAACAGAACACAGGAATCCTTTGGATAGCTAAACATAGACTACTACACTTACCCCTCTTAGGGTACATCTACACTACAGGGGGGAGTCGATTTAAGATACGCAAATTCAGCTACGTGAATAGCGTAGCTGAATTCGACGTATCGCAGCCGACTTACCCCGTTGTGAGGACGGCGGCAAAATCGACTTCTGCCGCTTTCTGTCGGCGGTGCTTACTCCCACCTCCGCTGGTGGAGTAAGAGCACCGATTTGGGGATCGATTGTCGCGTCCCGACGGGACGCGATAAATCGATCCCCGAGAGGTCGATTTCTACCCGCCGATTCAGGCGGGTAGTATAGACCTAGCCTTAGAATCATAGAATATCAGGGTTGGAAGGGACCTCAGGAGGTCATCTAGTCCAACCACATGCACAAAGCAGGAATAATCCCCAACTAAATCATCCCAGCTAGGGCTTTGTCAAGCCTGACCTTAAAAACCTCTAACGAAGGAGATCCCACCACCTCCCTAGGTAACACATTCCAGTGCTTCACCACCCTCCTAGTAAAAAAGTGTTTTCTGATATCCAACCTAAACTTTCCCCACTGCAACTGTAGACCATTACTCCTTGTTCTGTCATCTGGTACCACTGAGAACAGTCTAGATCCATCCTCTTTGGAACCCCCTTTCAGGTAGTTGAAAGCAGCTACCAAATACCCCATCATGCTTCTCTTCTGTAGACTAAACAATCCCCGTTCTCTCAGCCTCTTCTCATAAGTTATGTGCTCCAGCCCCTTAATCATTTTTGTTTCCCTCCGCTGGACTCTTTCCAATTTTTCAACATCCTTCTTGTAGTGTGGAGCCCAAAACTGAACACAATACTCCAGATGAGGCCTCACCAATGTTAAACAGAGGGGAACGATCACGTCCCTCGATCTGCTGGCAATGCCCCTACTTATACAGCCCAAAATGCCGTTAACCTTCTTGGGAACAAGGGCACACTGTTGACTCATATCCAGCTTCTCATCCACTGTAACCCCAGGTCCTTTTCTGCAGAACTGCTGCCTACCCATTCGGCCCCTAGTCTGTAGCACTGAATGGGATTCTTTCACCCTAAATGCAGGACTCTGCACTTGTCCTTGTTGAACCTCAGCAGATTTATTTTGGCCCAATCCTCTAATTTGTCTACGTCCCTCTGTATCCTATCCCTACCCTCCAGCGTATCTACCAGTTCTCCCAGTTTAGTGTCATCTGCAAACTTGCGGAGGGTGCAGTCCACGTCATCCTCCAGATCATTAATGAACATACTGAACAAAACTGGCCCCAGGAGCGACCCTTGGGGCACTCCTCTTGATACAGGCTTGCAATTGGAAATGGAGTCATTGATCACTACCCATTGAGCCCTTCTATCTAGCCAGCTTTCTATCCACCTTATAGTCCATTCATCCAGCCCATACTTCTTTAACTTGCTGGCAAGAATACTGTAGGAGATCATATCAAAAGCTTTCCTAAAATCAAGGAATAACACATCCACTGCTTTTCCCTCATCCACAGAGCCAGTTATCTCGTCATAGAAGGCAATTAGGTTACTCAGACATGACCTGCCCTCTTCTTCCAAGTCTTTAAAAATACACATTTACATTTCAAACTCTAGATTACCTAAGGTGGACACACTTTTAAAATCTCTCTCTAAATGTTGACCCTGAGTCAATTACATGCAAGTTGCTGAACCCTTTCTTGCCATGTGTCACAGAAGTTTAGATTCTGTGTTGATTCTTCCATGTTTAATGAGGTCAGAATTCCATATGAAATTTTTCCAGCAGTCCAAGCACCTCTGGAGTCTTTCCTGTAAAGATTGCCTAATGTTGAACAAGGTCTGACCTTTGTATGTAACCTTCCCCACAGTCCAAGCACTTGTGGGGTCTCGCTCCTGGGTGGATTGCCTGATGTTGAACAAGATTTGACTTCTTTATGAAACTTTTCCCTCAGTCCAAGCACTTGTGGGGTCTCTCTGCTGTGTGGATTGCCTGATGACGAACTAGGTGTGACCTCTGTATGAAACTTTTTCCACAGTCCAAGCACTTGTGGGGTCTCTCTACTGTGTGGATTGCCTGATTACGAACTAGGTGTGACCTCTGTATGAAACTTTTCCCACAGTCCAAGAACTTGTGGGGTCTCTCTCCTGTGTGTAATGCCTGATGACGAAGTAGGTGTGACCTTCT